GAATATTTGTTGGTTAAAAAATATAAATAAAAAAATCAGAATTTTTAAAAACGTTTTTATTGTAATACTTTATTGCGTAAACAAACAAATAGCTCGGTCTTCCAACGCGTGAACATGCCAGGAACAGCTGACCATGTGAAAAGCAGGAACATGCTACATTTAGTCCGCAAACATGAAGAAATTGTCCTTCGGATTTATTTATTTCATAGCAAATGCCAAGCGTGCCGGAAACTGCAATCTTTTGAAGTTGAAAGGCATTTCTGTTGCAATTAGAGAATTCGATGTAGCAACATACTTCCCAGTAATAATCATACCCTCAATTAAATTTTTGTTTAGTTTTTATACTCTCTACTTTAGTATGGAGGGTATATTAAGTTTGTAATTTCGTTTGTAACACCTCGAAATATACATTTTAGACCCCACAAAGTATATGTATTCTTGATCAGCATAAAATTCTATGTCGATTTAGCGATGTCCGTCCGTCTATCCGTCTGTCAGTCTGTGGAAATCACTCAAGCTTCCGAACGAAATAAAGTAGGTTGATAAAATTTTACTGAAATGTATATTATGTCTGCAGGACTTTTGATATTGAAAATAGACCATGTAGGTTCACGTTTTAATACAGCCCCCATATAACGATACCTCCCGATATTCGGTACTTTGATGATTTTAGAGACATTATTTGCCGGTATAGGTTCAAATTTGGTATTTGAAGTTCGTAATGCATACTACGACTATGACAAAAGATTGTCTGTGCAGGTCCACGTCTTCGTATACATTCGGTATTTTTAAGATTTTAAAACAATTTTTAACGGATTTTATTTTGTTGAAAATTGCCAAGTTCGTTCCAAATGGTAAAGGGCATTCAAAGTTCGGCCCGGCCGAACTTATAGTTTTTTTTACTTCTTTACTGTTAGCCTTATACCATTGCAAAGACGTTGTGGGTCAATGCTTCTTAATAAAATCATATTCCAATTTGAAACGATTTCAATATAAATTGACACACCTTCCATATTTCATTGAAATTGGAGGTACATACCGTGTTTGGTGCATAAAATATGTGACATCGGCCGAGAATATATGTGGGAGCTATATCAAAATTTTAGCCGATTTCTAATTAATTTGTCAAATTTACATTTACACCAAATTCCGCCACACATTCTGAATTTCATTGGAATAGGACATACATATGGTGTTTGGTACATAACATTCATGAGATCGGCCGAAAAATATATATGGGAGATGTAGTCAAATCTCAGCCGATTTCAATATAACTCGGCAAATTTATTTTTGTACCAAAATTTAGTCACTCATGCCGAATTTTATTGGAACCGAACATACGTATCGTGTTTGGTGCATCAAATATGTGAAATCGGACGAAAATATGTATGGAAGCTATGTCCAAATCTGGACCGATTTCAATATAATTTGACAAATTTATTTTCTGATCAAATCCCGTCACACATTTCAAATTTCATTGAAATTTAACATACACAGCGTATTTAATGCATCAAATACATGAAATCAGGCGAAAATATATATGAAAGCTATATCCAAATCTGAACCTAATATATTTTCTAATCGAATCCCGTAATCAAATCTGTAATCGGTCAATAGATATGTGCATATAAAATCCAAGTTTTTGGGAGGTACCTTCGATTCTGATGCTATATCTGCAGTTCCGAGTGGAATTTCAAAAATCTATAGCCTATGTTACTTTCAGGCGATGTTGTAGTATACTTGGAAATTTTCAGGAAAATCAGTGCAGCGGTTTTCGAGTCCATAAATTACAAACAAACAAACGTACAAACATTTTCCTCTTTTTAGATATAGATGATACGCCATAGGAGAGAACCCCCACTACAAACTGTAAAGATCGAATTAAAAAAATCTGTGAAATCACAGGAGAAAAACCACCCTCTCTCAGTACCAAATTTGGAAAAATTCCGTGGAAAAATTTGACTTAAATCATCAAAATACCGAATATCGGGAGATACCGTTATATGGGGCCTTACGAAAACATGGACCGTAATATCTCATTTTCAATACCAACCATCCTAGACAAAATACAAACTATTGTGCAAAATTTCACAGCTCTGCGTCAATGAATGTGGATCGTGATTTAAAACCGTTAAATCGACTTAGAATTGTATGCAGATAATAAATAAGTATACTTGATACGACGAATATTTAGATGTTACAAACGAAATGACAAATTTAAAATATATGACAAATTAAATTAAATTTAAATAATGACAAATTTCCAAAGTAGAGGATATAACAAAATAATTCGAAATTTTACGAATATCAATTGAACTTAACAAAAGCTTACGAACGGTAATTTGCTTACAAAACTGCATGGACAGTGTCAACAAACGGGTGAAAAAAAAGGTTTATGGAGGTTAAAATAATTCGCCAATGTTAATTTATTTTCACTTAGTTTCAGGATCAAGAGTAATCAATAATATTTTCTCAAAATACTTGAACATGCCTTAGGTAAAACGTGGAAAATTGAATTATCGAATAATTAGCCATTAAACCTCTTATTTTGTTGGTCTAGTATAATTAATATGTTCGCATCAATTCCTCATATTAACCATATAAAAGCAATACCTTCCGCTCTTTATTCTGCAGGGGTATTTTCCTTTTTTCAATGCTTTCTCATCAATCTTCACCCTGGTGATGCTTCTTTTACAATATCACAAGCGTAATTAATGCCACTTACATGCACATGTGATGGTGAATAATACCACATCGCATCGAAAGAAACAATCCCCGCGGGACTTTTCTCATCCATTTGAGAAAATCGTTAATTATAAATGCATTGATCTACAACTTATTACAAATTGTTTGAAAAGTAATCTCAAGATCAACCATTTAAGAAGCCACAGCTGGTTGTTATCCGGATGTCAATTCAGTTGAAAATTGTGGCTGAAGTCTCCAAACTATGGAAATTCGGCTGGATTTTGTTTCAGAAACCTCAAAAATACCAAAAATCGTCAGGTACCGTTATTTGGAGGCTATACCAATTATTGGATCTTCATAGAATATTTTTGCAAGGAGAGAACAGGCTTTTAGAGAACCCCAAATGTCGAGATTCAGCTGATTTGTTTGGAAATTGTGGCAGAAACCCCAAAATATCGAAAATCTGAAGGTACCGTTATACGGGAGCTATTCCTAAACGCAGCTCAATATAGCTCTTTCTCAATACCAATTAGCCTGCATAAAATACATACCTTTGTGCCAAATTTCAAAGCTCTAGATCAAATATTGTGATCTCTCTCGTGATTTCATCAGACGGACTCCCAACACTTATTCTGATCCGGAATATATATCGATATCTACCTTTTCGGTCTCCGACGAATACTTCGAGGTGTTGCAAACGGAATGACAAATTTAATATATCTTTTATGGTATGATGGAGAAAGAATTCTGTCGTATGATGACGATATTTTCGAATATACAGGGTGAGATAAAAAAGGCTGCAACAAAGTCGAACGCCATAATTTTTACTTTTTTATTTTAAATTTTATTGAATGAAAGCAAAACAAGTAAGCAAAGGCTGTAGTGTGCGTGCGGGGCCGACTATGTTATACCCTACAACACTACAATATGTCAGAATCCCCCTTATGTCTAAATCCATTTTGCAAGATTTCGCTTTTGAAATTAGGATTTTGACTAGGGACATTTGCCCAACATTTATGCGCTCCGTCGGGCTGTTAGTTGTTGTAGTCCAATTTACAGCTAAATATAATCCAATGGTCATCCAAAATGCTAGAATTCTTCCCGGTCCTTAACTCTCTTCACTGATCGGGCCATAATTGCGACCTGTAGAGTGATTAGAAATTAACATGGACAGACGGACGGACGGACATACTCGGCGAGACTCAGCTCGGCGAGATAGGAAGATCCACTTCGGCAAGATAGGAAGATCCACTTTCCTATGTGGGAAACCAATATTTCGTGGTGTTACATAATTTTTGGCCCAATCAAACTTATAATACCCCCAAGACATAGTGTTGTAGGGTATAAATAGCGGAAACACAATCAAATTTTAGAATAACTTTAGATTTGTTCGAATTGGCCACGTTTGGTACGAATTATGGCCTTCAAACGGCTCGAATGTTGCTCTGCGGTAGTTCGGCCTATTACCGGCGAGGAATCCGCTTCCTTGTGGTGATCGTCACTTTGGTATTTTTAGTGCCAACCTTGCTTTCCAAAATACTACTGACACAATAGTCCTACGGATTGGTATGCGGAGATTTTGGGTAGCGCGTGCTGAGAGCGATGGTGCTGAGTCCAGTTTTAATGTCCAAGGTCTGCGGCCAAAATGTTTGCGTACCCAAGGCCTTGATACACCTTCCAGAATATTTTCGCGATAATATTCAGCAAGAATTCTGATGTCACGGTCGATTAATACGAACGGAGAGTGACCATCGGCTGTTATTGCGGCCCACACCATCACCATGGCCGGCGCTTGAGTTCTGATGGTCAACCGAAGTTGCACATTTTCATCTGACCTCTTTGGCAAGTAAACACGATAAGGAATGTTTTCTCATCGGAGAAAATCAAATTCGGCAGTTCACCACTTTCGGCTACTCTTTAGCTCTTTTAAGTCTATTTTCTTTCTGTTGCGGTGTACGTTCTTGCACTTTTTGGAATTTCAATGGCTTTACCCTGAGCTCTTTTTTGAATATTTGCCGAATGGAATATTGTGATATGTTCAGCTAACGACCCATTTTTCGGCCACTGCGACATCTCACCCGTTATGCGACATCACTAGATCCGTTATAACAAAAGAGTATAACTTTAACAAGGACTTATTAGTCGTTCGAGAAAAAAGTTATTAAAAATACCTGATTTTATTCCAACAAACCTCGTAACTTCCCACCATCACGTTCTGACATTTTGTGATCTATACTCACAAGATTGGGTAAGTCATATTTTTAGAACACCATTCATCTCGAAGTAAAGGATCAGTAATAGGAAATGCAATAAGGTTTTATTGTAAATAATTTAATAAAGCGTATGTGAGTGTGTGAAGAACACACACATAGATATCAAAGCATATTTATTTTTATTTTGATACAACTTTAACGTTTACAAAATTATGTCGGTGTTGTAGGCTTTGATTCCGATCCGCTGCCCGGCTGCACTCCCTTGGCAGCATAGTGACAGCCCACACGTACGCATTGACTTAATTCCTTTTTCTGCAACCACGCATGCAAAAAGCCGGCCACAAAACAGGCATCTGACACTTCGGCCGAAGGATCGTCTTCGCCAGCTGACGGTGGTACATTGAATGTTTGAAATGTCAGTGGTCCAGGTGCGCAACCTTCACGAAAATAGTTACTAATCAAATCAATGCCATCGTCCCCTTTGTTTATAACAAAAATGATAGGCGCTTGTTTATTCTTTACAATGCCCTCAGCCAATTCTCTGGTACTTGAGGCACCCCAACATTCGCAGAATTCGTGAAACTCTGCCGAATTTCCAAATACAAAGAGAGCATTACTCACTATGTACAGCAAATGATTAAAATTCTGCCGGACTATGTGTTCGGCACTGAGATTAAGGGCGATATATCGACGACCCTGAATATAGCTACGAACAATGAAAGTCGTCACCGCTTCTCTTTTGGGAATAAAACATCCTTCAATGTAGAAGATTTGAACACGATTTTCTGGCCTCAAGATGGACGAGTTTTTATCGTTAATTGCAAATTCAAGGAAATTAACGGAAAACTGAGCTGAAGCACCACAGTTCGTATACAAGGCTCTGGAGTCATTGTATGATAAGGATACTCTGCGTCCAGTTGGAACATTCTCCACAGTTTGGACTCGTAGAAAACTGTAATGAGGGATGAATTAATGCAGTTAATGAGTAATGCTTGAATTCAATGGCTTACCTTCTGTCCATATCTTCCATTTTGAGTAGCCGACTGATTATTTTTGACGCCTGATCATCACCGCATGCGCTAAAAAATATTGCCTCTGTTCCCAGTTGTCTTAAGGCACGCACAGTTCGTAGTGCAGATCCGGAGAGTTCAACTTTCAGACTCCTAAATAATGAAATAACAAGATCAAATATTAAAAATAACACCTATGTGGGTAATAACATTTTGAGATTTTTCTATCGATATTTAATGCAAATTGACTTTTAAGATTGTTTGAATGAATGAGCTTTTAAAAGAATTTGCCGTGTACGTTACGTATGAAATGAGGTATAATAGGTGAGATAAAGAACTGCAATCAAATTCAGACTGCTGACATTTCTAAGCCACTCGTCCAACAAGTGTTAAAATTATTCCAGTGACAGCTCATTATATTGAGCTGAACATATCGCAATATTCCATTCGGCAAATATGGAAAATAAGCTCGGGGTAAAGCCATTGAAATTCCAAAAAGTGCAAGACTTACACCGCAATGGAAAGAAAATAGACTCAAAAGAGCTAAAGAGTTGCTTTGTTGACCGACAGTGGTAAACTGCCGAATTTGGTTTCGCCGATGAGAAAACATTCGTTGTCCAGCAGTTTGTAAACAAACAAAATGATCGTGTTTACTTGCCAAAGAGGTCAGCTGAAAATGTGCACCCTCTTTTGGCCACCAGAACTCAAGCGCTGGCCATGGTGATGGTGTGAGCCCATGGTCGCTCTCCGCTCGTGTCAATCGACCGTGGCATCAGAATAAATGTCGAATGTTATGGCGATAATATTCTGGAGGGTGTATTAAAACCTTGGACACGCAAACATTTTGGCCGCAGACCTTAGACATTCCAACAGGACTCAGCACGCGCCACCCAAGGATGGTTACAAAATGAGGTTCCTCGCTTCATTTCCAGCCAATGTCTCCGGATACAAATCCGTTGGACTATTGTGTCTGGAGTATTTTGGAATGCAAGGTTGGCACTAAAAATACCAAAGCGTCGATGACGATGGGACAAAATTTCGCTGAGCAATATTCGGGCAGCGTGTATGTTTCATTGGCCGTTTGAAGGCCATAATTCATGCCAAAGGTGACCAATTCAAACAAATCTAAACTTACTCTAAAATTTGATATGAAGTTTGACTTTGTTGCAGTTTTATTTTTTCAGTTTGCAGTTTTTTTTTATTCATTATCAGCATAAAGTAAGTCGATGTATCGATGTTCGTTTGTCTGACTGTCTGTCTATCAGTTGAAATCACGATACAGCCTGGTGATGCTTCTTTTACAATATCACAAGCGTAATTAATGCCACTCACATGCACATGTGATGGTGAATAATACCACATCGCATCGAAAGAAACAATCCCCGCGGGACTTTTCTCATCCATTTGAGAAAATCGTTAATTATAAATGCATTGATCTACAACTTATTACAAATTGTTTGAAAAGTAATCTCAAGATCAACCATTTAAGAAGCCACAGCTGGTTGTTATCCGGATGTCAATTCAGTTGAAAATTGTGGCTGAAGTCTCCAAACTATGGAAATTCGGCTGGATTTTGTTTCAGAAACCTCAAAAATACCAAAAATCGTCAGGTACCGTTATTTGGAGGCTATACCAATTATTGGATCTTCATAGAATATTTTTGCAAGGAGAGAACAGGCTTTTAGAGAACCCCAAATGTCGAGATTCAGCTGATTTGTTTGGAAATTGTGGCAGAAACCCCAAAATATCGAAAATCTGAAGCTATTCCTAAACGCAGCTCAATATAGCTTTTTCTCAATACCAATTAGCCTGCATAAAATACATACCTTTGTGCCAAATTTCAAAGCTCTAGATGAAATATTGTGATCTCTCTCGTGATTTCATCAGACGGACTCCCAACACTTATTCTGATCCGGAATATATATCGATATCTACCTTTTCGGTCTCCGACGAATACTTCGAGGTGTTGCAAACGGAATGACAAATTTAATATATCTTTTATGGTATGATGGAGAAAGAATTCTGTCGTATGATGACGATATTTTCGAATATACAGGGTGAGATAAAAAAGGCTGCAACAAAGTCGAACGCCACAATTTTTACTTTTTTATTTTAAATTTTATTGAATGAAAGCAAAACAAGTAAGCAAAGGCTGTAGTGTGCGTGCGGGGCCGACTATGTTATACCCTACAACACTACAATATGTCAGAATCCCCCTTATGTCTAAATCCATTTTGCAAGATTTCGCTTTTGAAATTAGGATTTTGACTAGGGACATTTGCCCAACATTTATGCGCTCCGTCGGGCTGTTAGTTGTTGTAGTCCAATTTACAGCTAAATATAATCCAATGGTCATCCAAAATGCTAGAATTCTTCCCGGTCCTTAACTCTCTTCACTGATCGGGCCATAATTGCGACCTGTAGAGTGATTAGAAATTAACATGGACAGACGGACGGACGGACATACTCGGCGAGACTCAGCTCGGCGAGATAGGAAGATCCACTTCGGCAAGATAGGAAGATCCACTTTCCTATGTGGGAAACCAATATTTCGTGGTGTTACATAATTTTTGGCCCAATCAAACTTATAATACCCCCAAGACATAGTGTTGTAGGGTATAAATAGCGGAAACACAATCAAATTTTAGAATAACTTTAGATTTGTTCGAATTGGCCACGTTTGGTACGAATTATGGCCTTCAAACGGCTCGAATGTTGCTCTGCGGTAGTTCGGCCTATTACCGGCGAGGAATCCGCTTCCTTGTGGTGATCGTCACTTTGGTATTTTTAGTGCCAACCTTGCTTTCCAAAATACTACTGACACAATAGTCCTACGGATTGGTATGCGGAGATTTTGGGTAGCGCGTGCTGAGAGCGATGGTGCTGAGTCCAGTTTTAATGTCCAAGGTCTGCGGCCAAAATGTTTGCGTACCCAAGGCCTTGATACATCTTCCAGAATATTTTCGCGATAATATTCAGCAAGAATTCTGATGTCACGGTCGATTAATACGAACGGAGAGTGACCATCGGCTGTTATTGCGGCCCACACCATCACCATGGCCGGCGCTTGAGTTCTGATGGTCAACCGAAGTTGCACATTTTCAGCTGACCTCTTTGGCAAGTAAACACGATAAGGAATGTTTTCTCATCGGAGAAAATCAAATTCGGCAGTTCACCACTTTCGGCTACTCTTTAGCTCTTTTAAGTCTATTTTCTTTCTGTTGCGGTGTACGTTCTTGCACTTTTTGGAATTTCAATGGCTTTACCCTGAGCTCTTTTTTGAATATTTGCCGAATGGAATATTGTGATATGTTCAGCTAACGACCAATTTTTCGGCCACTGCGACATCTCACCCGTTATGCGACATCACTAGATCCGTTATAACAAAAGAGTATAACTTTAACAAGGACTTATTAGTCGTTCGAGAAAAAAGTTATTAAAAATACCTGATTTTATTCCAACAAACCTCGTAACTTCCCACCATCACGTTCTGACATTTTGTGATCTATACTCACAAGATTGGGTAAGTCATATTTTTAGAACACCATTCATCTCGAAGTAAAGGATCAGTAATAGGAAATGCAATAAGGTTTTATTGTAAATAATTTAATAAAGCGTATGTGAGTGTGTGAAGAACACACACATAGATATCAAAGCATATTTATTTTTATTTTGATACAACTTTAACGTTTACAAAATTATGTCGGTGTTGTAGGCTTTGATTCCGATCCGCTGCCCGGCTGCACTCCCTTGGCAGCATAGTGACAGCCCACACGTACGCATTGACTTAATTCCTTTTTCTGCAACCACGCATGCAAAAAGCCGGCCACAAAACAGGCATCTGACACTTCGGCCGAAGGATCGTCTTCGCCAGCTGACGGTGGTACATTGAATGTTTGAAATGTCAGTGGTCCAGGTGCGCAACCTTCACGAAAATAGTTACTAATCAAATCAATGCCATCGTCCCCTTTGTTTATAACAAAAATGATAGGCGCTTGTTTATTCTTTACAATGCCCTCAGCCAATTCTCTGGTACTTGAGGCACCCCAACATTCGCAGAATTCGTGAAACTCTGCCGAATTTCCAAATACAAAGAGAGCATTACTCACTATGTACAGCAAATGATTAAAATTCTGCCGGACTATGTGTTCGGCACTGAGATTAAGGGCGATATATCGACGACCCTGAATATAGCTACGAACAATGAAAGTCGTCACCGCTTCTCTTTTGGGAATAAAACATCCTTCAATGTAGAAGATTTGAACACGATTTTCTGGCCTCAAGATGGACGAGTTTTTATCGTTAATTGCAAATTCAAGGAAATTAACGGAAAACTGAGCTGAAGCACCACAGTTCGTATACAAGGCTCTGGAGTCATTGTATGATAAGGATACTCTGCGTCCAGTTGGAACATTCTCCACAGTTTGGACTCGTAGAAAACTGTAATGAGGGATGAATTAATGCAGTTAATGAGTAATGCTTGAATTCAATGGCTTACCTTCTGTCCATATCTTCCATTTTGAGTAGCCGACTGATTATTTTTGACGCCTGATCATCACCGCATGCGCTAAAAAATATTGCCTCTGTTCCCAGTTGTCTTAAGGCACGCACAGTTCGTAGTGCAGATCCGGAGAGTTCAACTTTCAGACTCCTAAATAATGAAATAACAAGATCAAATATTAAAAATAACACCTATGTGGGTAATAACATTTTGAGATTTTTCTATCGATATTTAATGCAAATTGACTTTTAAGATTGTTTGAATGAATGAGCTTTTAAAAGAATTTGCCGTGTACGTTACGTATGAAATGAGGTATAATAGGTGAGATAAAGAACTGCAATCAAATTCAGACTGCTGACATTTCTAAGCCACTCGTCCAACAAGTGTTAAAATTATTCCAGTGACAGCTCATTATATTGAGCTGAACATATCGCAATATTCCATTCGGCAAATATGGAAAATAAGCTCGGGGTAAAGCCATTGAAATTCCAAAAAGTGCAAGACTTACACCGCAACGGAAAGAAAATAGACTCAAAAGAGCTAAAGAGTTGCTTTGTTGACCGACAGTGGTAAACTGCCGAATTTGGTTTCGCCGATGAGAAAACATTCGTTGTCCAGCAGTTTGTAAACAAACAAAATGATCGTGTTTACTTGCCAAAGAGGTCAGCTGAAAATGTGCACCCTCTTTTGGCCACCAGAACTCAAGCGCTGGCCATGGTGATGGTGTGAGCCCATGGTCGCTCTCCGCTCGTGTCAATCGACCGTGGCATCAGAATAAATGTCGAATGTTATGGCGATAATATTCTGGAGGGTGTATTAAAACCTTGGACACGCAAACATTTTGGCCGCAGACCTTAGACATTCCAACAGGACTCAGCACGCGCCACCCAAGGATGGTTACAAAATGAGGTTCCTCGCTTCATTTCCAGCCAATGTCTCCGGATACAAATCCGTTGGACTATTGTG